TATAGAGAGGTCTAAGCCCAGCCATCACCGAAATTACCAGAGTTTACCTCTTCCGCCGTTTCCGCTGTATTCACTTCCATTCCTCTACTCTATCCTCTTACACTACTTTCCCGCCATATCTCTTGTTTCTTTCTCCATTTATAGCAGCTGGCTGTCGCGAATATCTTCCCTCATTCCAAATTTTCACCGCGTGGGGAACTCTATAACTTCGCGGTGTTATTAAGATATTCTGTCTGATAAGGCAATCCCAATGAATAATACACGCCGATTTTTATTGAACATTCCACAATTAGATCTCTCTGAAAACATAATCATAATGCATTGGTTTTTTACTTTAAGTAAAAAGTCAACCCTTTTATCAGAATCAGCCCGTTTCTGTAACTATTTATAAATCGTAAACAAAGGAATATATGAGAAAATATTTAAAACAAACGTTTAGACCTACAAATCAATGTGAAACATTTTTGCAAAAATTAAATTGTTTCTTCTCCCACTTCTTTAAAAATTTTAATTCTTTTTTTGTTGTGAGTATGGTGAAACTTTGAATTGATTTCATTTTGCAATGTTCCATAGTTTAACGAGAAAGGCCATCATACGCGAAGTTGACCTTTTGACTGTGACATTTTCGCACGGTACCATCAATATATGTACATTGAAATGTTTGCAATTGTAAAATATTGAAACACACCGGTATTTAACTATTTTCAGTTGATGGATTACACGATACGATAGATTGCATATAGATCAGTTTAATAGAACAATAAATATGTGTAGTGAGAATAATTTAGAGGGCGTTTTTTCAACCAAAAGATTAAAATAAGAATAGAATTAGGAAAAATAGATTAGGATAGAAATAGAATAATAAATGTAGGGCAGTAAATGCTTTATTTTGATGCTGGTTGCTGTAATTTTGCTTTTAGCTCATATAAATTGTAATTGACTAGTTGATATATTTTAAATTCTTGTAAATGTGATTAGTTAAGAAAAGTCATATCTTTGATGTTACCATAACATTTGATATTTACATTAATTTTTATGTACCTATACTAAATGCTAAAAAGAGATTTCTTAATTGGACGCTCTAATGATTCATAAAATGATTCATACTTTTCATAGTAAGATAAAAAGGTTGCGTTTCTCTTTCTTGAGAATAAAAATGTTATAACGTGGAAAATGTGGAAGATGGAACATTTCCAGAAGAAAAAAAACGAATAATCTCGCTTCAAATTTGATCAAGACAGCTATTGATTATGAAATGTACATTCATTTGTTCTCAATATATTGCAAAATTCCGTGTTGCTTTTATCTGTCCATAGAGTGAAAGTCTACTTTTAAATAAAATTTACACAAAAGGACGAAAGATAGACATGGTTAGTAAATGAGTGTTCAGTTAATTTTTTGATTCAGACCTCGAAAGCAGGAAAACGATTTCATTCGTTCGATGCTCGTTAAACGATACATCGAATGCAAACGTTGAAAACGATCGAGAAAAGCTTTGGCAGCTGAAAAATCCGTCAATCACCGTTTCGAATAGTAGAAAATGTATAAAAAGTACGACGAATCGTATTCCAAGCGTACATGGTAGTTCTAGAAAACCCTTTTCGAGCGAACCTGTTAGCTGTATCCCCGATATCTTTTCTGTCCTCATTCGTGGAAAACTTTTCAATATGGAAGCCCTTGTACGCGCCTCTTTATTCTTACATTGGTTCAGTTTTCCCCGACTCGAATCGCGATGAAAGTACCAGTCGAGCGGAGCGAGGAGATCGTGCAAGCTCGCTTTACAGGGTTTGCTTAAAATAAATTACGTTTCTCGATATTGTGTGGTCGTAAAACTTGTTAGCGAAGTTTGAACAACTTTCGCAAACACAGTATCTCTTCTTTTAAATTAACTTTACACTTTACTGCTTATACAAATGTGATATATGGAATGTGGAAATGGAGATGTACCAAGGGTAAAATTTTATTTTACGCAGAGATCTTTTTTACTTTCATTCAACGTATTCAGATATCGCTATTAACATTTCTAGTGCTGTCTCCCTTTTCTCTGACGTGGGAATTTTCATGTAGGTATCGTTTATTTGATAAAAAATTATTTTACGCTATAAATTATAAGTCATAAACTTTATTAAGAGTACGAAGGCTATTTGTTTATTTTTCAATAAACAAGAAAGTGTAGTAATTGTTTATTAGATTGAAGTACAGTTACGAACTCAAAGGATTTGTTATGACTTTAAGGTGAAATTTGAAGTGTTTAGTGAAAGATACAATGTAATTATTTCGGTAGTAAGAAATAAGATTTAGTTTGAATGAAATTGTATTCGAAATTAGAAATTATTTGTTATTTTCAGAATAGTATTTAAAATATTCTCGGACTAATTATGTCATATCACGATAACAGCCAGATTTACACATTTTATTTGTGGCGAATTAATAATTATGATTTTAAATAATATTATCAATTTTCAATTTATTATTTTTGTGATTTGAATGATATTTTTTAAACCTACCTTTTGAATGACACTACTATTGTTTGAATAATATTTTTTGATTATATCATTTGAATGATGTTGTTGTTGTTTGAGTAATATTTCAAAGATATGAACAATACTTTTATTACTTGTATAATATTAATATCATGCTATTATTGTTTGAGTAATATTTCCGAATATATTATTTGAGTGATACTAATGATTTGAGCAATATTTTTATTACTTTCATAATATTAATATCATGCTATTATTGTTTGAGTAATATTTTCCGAATATATTATTTGAGTGATACTGATGGTTTGAACAATACTTTTATTACTTGTATAATATTATTATCACCTGAATAATATTTTTAAAACATACTATTTGGAATAATACTGTTATTATTTGAACAATATTTTGCAAACAGATTTCATAATGCTCGAAACTATTAGAAAACGCAATGCAATACACTTGTCAATCATTTTATCAGTATCCTCGATGCATCCTTCGACCTTCATCGTACGAAATCATCGCAGGCGAGGATGGCGATCGGAATTGACATTACGGATCCCAACAAATATGAAAAATGTCGCCGATGAAAGGATCCTTTCCGTAGAAACGGCGTGGTGTGCCCGACGCAGGCCATTCATATTTTATCAACCTCCTTATCAATTTCTTAACCGCGACCGTACCATTTTTCAGCCGTCTTTCCCATATTCCTTCTGTGTACCAGCGCGTTACACTTCTTTTCCTCCCGAAAATACGCTCTGAAAGGAGCATTATGCCCGGCACATTTTTGTGTTTGCGAATCTACCGAGTAAACATATTTTCGAGGCGTACGCTAGAATGCTTTCAAGCTATCCGCAAAAGCTTAAATTTATTAACCGTTACGGTCGCGAACAAAGCTCGAGTCGCAGCCGGAAACGTTCGACGATCCCAAAAAACTGGATCGCTGCATGCGAATGTGGTTTTTCTGTGAACTTTCTATTGCGTGGAGGAATGCATACCCTTCGAAACCGTGATGTCCGAAAAGCTGCGATCGTTCCAGTAGCCTATCGTCCAAGATCAAAGGTGAAAAGTTTCCTACGGCGTCCCTTTTGTTCGGGGAAAATTGTTCCCCGAACTTCTGCTGTCATAGGTGAGCTTTGCAAATCAAATGTTTGCGCGTTTCGACGCGAGCGATATTTTAATAAAAATTATTCCGGTCGGTTAACAGGATTTATTGAAAATATGATAAACAGTTTCGCGTTGCAGTTTCCCGAAGGAAATAAATATCGTTTCTCCTTCCTGTTCGTTCCATTTTTCATGTCAAATATAAATGCGTCGATCAATAACAGTTTGCGAAATTCGGTCCTCTATATTTAGGATGTTTGCAATTCCGAACGGTAGAAACAATCTGCTTGCATTCAATATTTTTCTTATATAATATATTGTTCGTACATATTTGGCCTTTTCAAAATGGTCGGCTGTTTCTAGTGATTTGTTCGTTATTTTTGTTGTATAAATGTGTAGTAGCTAGTTCCATTCAGCACAGGAAGTTATGTGTTATATTTAAAAATCATGAAACTATATAACATGTTTAACCCTTTGCACTATTTTGACGAGTCTGACTCGTGACGCACTCGTACTTCGTGATCAATTTTACTCGAATTTTTAATACGCTTCAATTTGGAATTCAAGTCCAATTACAATTTGCATAGTCAGCGATTGTATAATAACATACTGACATAACATATCAAATTTTTTTGTCTGTTTTAATATTGTAGCTGTAATTAGTCAATTCTGACTGACGCACCTGACAAATAAGTCATAGTGCAAGGGGTTAATATCATATATTGTATTATAATAGTCATAATCCGATCACTTCTGAAGTATTACCTTCTTTGCTAGCTCCAACTAAAGCAATGTGCGACTGCGCTTAACACTTTCACGACCGCATCTTTGTGCAGTGAAACGTTGCCATGAGCCGGCAATACTTTTGACATCACGTGAGAGTCAACGGCTAATAACAACGGCCTATCAATGACACCACGTAAATGTCACCGGCCAACAACGACTGGCCTGCCTATGGCACCACGGTGGTGTCACAGGTCGTGAAAGTGTTAAGATGTCTACATCTGACATACGAAAATTAGTAATTATACAGAATAGATACTTTTCCGAATATACATTATTTTTGAAATTTTTTTCGTAAAAGTATATATTATGAGAACTGTATCTTATATTATTGTTTCAATTTCACTGTATTGCTAAAAACTTGTTAAGTGCCAGTGTAATATTGTGGTTTTATGTTTACGTGAAGCAGTCAACTCTTTCGCCCTTCTTACAATTCCTTTCCAAAATTCCATTAGTCGAATTTTATACAAATATTATAATTGTCAATATTTAATTTCATAGTTATATGAATTTGATGTACGAAATGGTTATACATAATTAAAAATGATATGTGAAGTTTCTATATAATATGTCTGTTAGTTCTTGTCTGAATTTTTAGAACACTGATTAAAATATAATTTTTCATTTTTACAGATGGTGACGAGGACAAAGAAGATATTCGTCGGTGGACTATCGGCACCGACGACGCTGGAGGACGTCAAAAACTACTTCGAACAGTTCGGCCCGGTGAGTACCCAGAAATGATTAATATTGGTTACTGACAAACGTTTCCGTCACTGCGGTAATTTTAGATGGAAAGTGACCTTCACAGTCTGTTAAACATAAGAATAATCACAATAAGGATCATAGGAAATGTTCATTATAAATCAGCGTATTGACACAATTATATTAAGTATAACTTAGGGATTTAGGAATGTGGGGTTTTAGGGATGTAGGAATTTAGAGATGCAGAAATCTAAAATCTCTAAAAGGATTTGAAGATGTAGTGATAGGAAGATACAGAAATCTGAGGATATAGAGATATAGCGATATAGCGATACAGAAATTTGGGGATATAGAGATTTTGGAATTCACAGATCGAAAGATACTGATATTTGCAGGTTTAGAAATCTGGAGATACAGATTCTGGGATATCGAAATTTAGTGATGTAGAAACCTATACATATATGTAGGGATACGAAAATATAGGAGTCTAGAAATGTAAAGATTTGAGAATGTAGGGTTCGATATACAATAGGAATCCGATAGATAAGGATTCGAGATATAGGAATTCGGGAGGTAGAAATTTGGAATGTAAGAATTCGGGATATAGGAATTTGAAATTTAGAGATTCGAAATATAGGGACACGGAATGTAGGAATTCGGAGTGTAGAAATTCGACATATAGGTATTCGAAATTTAGGGATACGGAATATAGAAATTCGGAATATAGGAATTCAATATATGGGAATTCGAAATATAGGAATTCGGTATATGGGAATTCGGAATATGGGAATTCGTTATATGGGAACTCGGTATGTGGGAATTCGATATATGGGAATTCGGAATATAGGAATTCGGAATATGGGAATTCGTTATATGGAAACTCGGTATGTGGGAATTCGGAATATAGGTTTTCGAAATATAGGTTTTTGAAATATAAAGATTCGGAATATAACTGTTCGGAACGTAGCGATTCAAGATATAGAGATTTCTGAAATATAAAAAAAATAATTCTGAATATATAAAAAAATCTGTACTCATAGAAATCTAAATATTCAGAAAATTTGAAATACAGAGATCTAAAGATGAATGTACAAATTTATAAAATACAGAAATTGTATGAGAATGTGAAATATAGGAATACAATAACTTGTTTCGTATATATTATATAAATGAATACTACAACTATAAAATTTAGTCGTTCATTCGGTAAGTGTCAGATTTTTCAATTGGACTTATACTCTCGAAATAGGTACATCCCCAGTGACCTTATTTCTCGCGCAAGCTGTTTCGTTATGCATATTTTATTTCTTAGAAGTTTTGTGTTTATATGTATATACTGAAACATTTTTCAACTGGACAGGTATCCAACTACTGTGACAGTCAACTTGTTATTAATTAATGCTCTTTCCACTCTTTTATGACGCGCAATGACTACTTCGTTTAAACTTATGGTCCTTTGGTAAAACCTACTTTTCTTACTGCAATTCACTACTTTTGTAGTTGTTAGGTTTTAAAATAAAAAAACATTAGTTAGGTTTTGAAATTAAAGTTTAGAATGTTAAATAAAAAATAATTTTAAAATAGAAAATCAACTAAAATTTAAGAGCAACTAATTTTTCTATTACTAATTGTTTCCTTTTTCCATAAGTATGCATACACACGTGTAATGTATTAGAATAGTCACGTCATAGCATGATTCTACTCAAAATATAAATTACGCAATAAAAATACTACATTGCAAAAGAATTTCTACATTTTATAAAATGTTGCCAACAAACTATGTTCTACAAGAATTTTCATATTTTCTGAATCGCGTTGTAGAATTTTCCTATTACCTGAATCACCTTATAGAATTTCCGTATTTTCTGAACTGCGTTGCAAAAATTCCACATTTTCGGTACTGCGTTGTAGAAAAATTTCTCTATTTTCTCAACCACCTTGAAAAATTTTCTTCTTTCTGACCCTCACTAAAAAATTCCCGTATTTTCTGAACCCGCGTAAAAAAGCTGTCTTTCCTGAGTAACAAAATCGCGTAGGAGCTTCCGCATTGTAAAAGAGTTACGAATATATTATTTTAATTCTCTTACCTTGTTTCATAAAATGAGTAAACAGTCGCGTGTTAGTAACAGAAGTGGTAAACAGTGGCACGGTACAAGCGTTCGATACCACGATCGTATATCAGCGACAGTTTGTCGCGCGGAATCGCGTCAGAACGCTTCGTCATTGCGGCCGAAATCATCCCGCGTGCTTTTCCCCGTCATGGATCGTTCGGACAGCGGTGGTGATCATTGTACCGAGACCGTCGAATCATTATTTTCGGTGAACCTGGCACGGTCGATACAATTCAGCGTGTTCCGCTTATTTCCTGCGCGTGCGGCCCTCTAATCCGGTCGGGACGCGAAATTTGACAGGGCTAATTCTCAACTGTACACGCGCAATTCGCGACGCTTATTGTTTCAGCGATTTTAATACGTTCACTTCGCGGTCGCTTTTATTGCGCTAACGACACAAATATCTCCGTCGTTTCGCTTACGTATTCAACCTGGATATTACTATTTGAATAGAATTCTTGATGAATGACGTGCACCCGATCGATTCGTATTTGGGTCGCTTTTCTATTTCGATCCTCTCTCTATCACGGCCATAATTTTCACCATGCAATTTCAGACACGACCGTTAAATAATCAGCCTTCTGTGTTGATTCTAAGTCAATAAAATGGTCGATAGTGTTCCTGTCGGTATTATTCGTCACATTGTTCAAGTATTTTAGCATCGAAAATTATCACTGATTAGGATATTATGTATATTTGCAGTTTTGATTATCCGACGTGAAATAATGACTGTACTTTCCTGTCATTTTCGATTCGTGTTTATCACATAGTGAAATTGGTCTGAAATTATCTATGAGTAGATTCAATTTCATTCTAAAGTATTATGGTACGGTCGAATTCGACTCGTTCAAAATTAAAGTTATACCTTCTCTAAATATAATTCTCTATTTAAATTTTATCTAGGTAAAACTACTTCAAACCACGTATATGGTATATGTGCGATAAATTATTAGGTCTATCACATTTAGTGCGATAAATTATTAAACAGTATAATTTGCCCTCGAAATGACTAATTTTATTTGAACTATTATAAGTATAATTTAAGATTTATTTCATTTCAAATAGCTTTAATTATAATTTAATATTGATTTTACTTCAAATATCTTAAGTTGTTATTTAAGATTGATTTCATTTCAAATATTGTATGTCTGATTACCCAAGTAATGCTTAATAATTCTACTAGTTAACATGCTGATCGTCACACTGGAACATTTGACACAAGACATTAATATAATATTGTCAGTTAAAATGTGAAATGATCACATAAATACAAAATATAAAACATATATTAATATAACAACAGTCAATTGTTTCCCACTTGTATGATTATAAATGAAACAAAATAATGTCTGCGTAATGTTACGAATTTTCCTGCTTAAATTTAGCAACAATTTATACAATTTAAAGAATGATTAAATTATAATTCAATTTTGTCAACAAATTTTTTCGTAAACAAACTTTTTTTGCAAATATTTTGATTCACTCTCAAATTCAGTTTACTCGAGAACCTGTGAAAAAATGTGTTTCATTTTCAACTGATTTTCTCAATTAGAATTCGATCGTTCCAGTAGATGTATATTTACCGAAGCAGCTGTTCGTTTTACAGTCAGATTGTTGGCCCGATGTTAAAATCTCGATGAACTTTCTGAACCACTCGAGACGTCCTCGCCGGTTAAGTGATTAGGAATTGGTAGAAGGACCATCTGAGACAAGGATTTCTGCTAATTAGCCTTTATCGACCTTTGGCAAGACTGCGAGGACCATTACGCGTTATTGTGCGAACTTCTCGAGCTTCTATCGCCTCGATAATAGCCGTCGCGATTCATCGGCCTCGGTGTATGAGACAGATAATGGTGCTTGAGCGTGATTTATGAGCTGGCGGTAGTCGCTCGAAATCGTTTCACGTTCTGACGATAACGTAAATAGAATTAACGATTCGGTAATTGATAATAATGTCCAGGATTTGTCTTTTTTCTCTCTTCACCCGTATCGGAGAGAATAAAATTCGCACAACTGAGAAATATGCAATTGATTCCCGGAATATTACCCGGAGAAACGTAATTACGTTTGTGTTGCACAGAGGAGAATTATATTTCGAATGTTTTAATATGCAATATGGAACGTAAATTCGAGACTGCCTCGCGTGTATATTATACGAAACAATGTTTCAATGGTTATTCTAAATTATTGCTTTTGGTGATCGCGCTAAATGTATAACACGCATACTTTGAAATTAAAGATGAAATTCAAAAATAAATTAAACATAAATCGATATACGTATTAATTCTTTTGGTGCAAATTAAAATAGATTTCAAGAATACTAATTTGTGTTGTTAAAAATACTTGTATAAAGCTATTTTGGAATTATCTCTTATAGCATCAATAACTATAATTGTAGATCATGGAGGATTTACTTTAATAGATTTAAAATGTTATCCATTTTAATAGATTTAAAAATAATCTAAGATCCATTTAAGTATAATTAATTTTTATAATTAATAATTTACTAGTAATAGTAAATATTTACAAAACATTACATTGTGATAGAAATAGATTATCTTTTATTGAAAGTTTATTAAGCGGAAATATAAATCTCCAAATAGCTTCACACTAGCTTTTGGTGACTCTACCATATGCCTTGTATACTATAATTAAAATAATACATTTATAACTAAAGCTAAAGATACAATTGAAAATAATAAAAGAACAAAAAGCTTAATAAAATTAAACCAAAATAAAAAGTGCAAGATAGCTATGCAAATCTATAAACTAGAAATATATTATATATATAAATGGAAGAAAAATTAATAGTCATAGATTTTGAACCCGTCACATAATAATTCATACATCTACCATTCTACCATCTTCGTGACCACACATATAATTCAAAAATTTAATATTTCTACAAGT